GGTTAAAGCTCATGATGTAATCACCAATTGTATTATCTAAGTTGAGAATCATCACATGCATGTACAAATTATAAGGTTGAATGCATGACATTGTTATGTTGGTAATGAGTTTGGTGGAAAATGAGCCATGCATGTGTTTGATTCATGAGATTAAGCTCCATGTTGACGTATTCTAGTGTTAGTACAAATATATGTGAGATTGGAGCCATTGTATGCAAGAAAAATTGGTTGAAAGTCGATTTGGAGCTCGAGAACTCATTCTGGAAAACCCAGAATTTTGGTGTCCGCTCGAGCGCCGGGGGGGGGGGGAACTACCGCTCGAGCGGAAAATACGTGCTCCCAGCACTTTTTGCAGACATGGTGTCCGCTCGAGCGGGGAAGTTGGCGCTCGAGAGGGGAGCTATGTAGACGGGTCTTCCGCTCGAGCGGCCGAGTTCACGCTCGAGTGGGGATTTGATGTAACCAGTACTTTTGTAGGCCCTAAGTGTCCGCTCGAGCGGGGAAGTCCATGCTCGAGTGGGGACCCTGTTTTCTGAAATTTTGTTCATGCGTTCTGTGTTTCGTTTTCCATTCTCTTTCACTTGTAAGCACTCTTAGGCATATGTTAAGCATTGTAAATGAGTTGATGAGATAAGAATAAAGCCTAAAGAGGAATATGTGAATTAAGGAACGGATTGAATTGTTAATGACCCTTTTGTGTTCATGGAATGTGTAGGGTCAAGCTCCAGGGCGAATTCACAAGCCGATCACTGTGAGTAATATCGATATTTGAAAGCTTATCAATGTCCAACTGTTTATTCCCTTATAAGCTTTATGAGTTGCTAATTGAGATTGTGGACAAAAGTCTGAAATGAACAAGCGAATGGACCGAAGGTCGTTTCGATATGAATAAATGGACCTGAGGTCGTTTTGATAGAAATAAATGGACCTAAGGTCGTTTTGAAATGAATGAGTAGGCTGAAGGCCGTTTTGACATGTATGTATGGGCCGAAGGCTGTTTTGACGTAAGCGAATGGACCGAAGGTCGTTTTGACAAAAATGAATGGACCGAAGGTCATTTCGATAGAAATGAATGGGCCGAAGGCCGTTTTGACATAAATGATTGGGCCGAAGGTCGTTTTGGCATAAATGAATAGACCGAAGGTCGTTTTGACATAAATGAACAGACCAAAGGTCATTTTGACAAGACATGAATGAATGGGCCAGGGGCCGTTTCGACACGAAAGTGTAAATAGGCCTGAAGGACAGTTTCACACGAGTAATAGTTTGACAATGAAATGAATGAATTGGGCCCGAGGCCGTGTGATGTGTTTGGAACCTCAGTTACTTAACTTACATGTGTCTATGTATGTATATACTAGTTAAAATGTAAATTGGGCCCAAGGCCGTTTGATGTATATTGTTCCAATGTATATTCTTTATTTGATATTATTCACTGGGCTATCGCTCACGCTCATTCATGTATTTGTAGGTGAGCCCAGAGAAGTCCAAACCCAGCCCCAGTGAAGTCGATGTGGAACAGCAGAGGTTTTGGGAAAGTCAGCCCTTGTGTCTCACGCACGAGACCCGCCTTCGCATTTTTGTCATTTTGTTCTATGTTGTCATGTTGGCAAATTTTTTGTATATGTCTGCTTATAGTTTTTATGGGTTGACTTAGTTTTGGATGATCCTGTCTGTACAGAACCTATGTCACTATGTTTCTGTTGTGAGTTATTAACGTGCATATGTATGGTTTGTTTTGATGTGCCATGTAAGCACAGCTCTATGGACAAAGTTTTAAATTTTGCTTCCTTTTTGGCCCCCTTTACTCTGATGTGTTAAGGCTGTTTTGGTTTGAGGCCGTAGGTAATCTTAGGATTAGTGGCCGGTTACGTCCTTAACCCATGGGGGCGGGTTCGGGTCGTGACAGATTTGGTCATATAATTAGACATGAATACAAGTACTCGAAAACATAGCAATGGCATTGTTCAAAAGTAATATCGATCTGAGCAAACAACAATTACTAGAATTTAGATTAAGTTAGCATGCACTAATCATGTCCTATCATTTACCGAGTAAAATACCATTTAGGCAAATGATAAATTCAAACATTGTCACTTACACTGTGATCACCTGAAGCTGTCAAAATATTAGCATCTTCCTGCACAAATTCAAACCATAACTAATTTTAGAAAATTACAAAAGGAGGCCAAAAAGGAGCAAGACTACTCAACATAGGTTTTTTTTCTATCTTCGCTATTGATTGCCGCCATTTATGCATAGCATTCTAATCAACTCTGAGAAAGAAATATCATTCGGGCTATCCCAGTGAAATTTTAAAATACCAGTGATGTAGAGAATATAAGATAAGGGTATAGTGACAAACTTAGAAGCATAGCATCCAATCCAGTGTTTTGGATGGTCCTAGAAGCATCAAAAAAGAAATTTTGACAATAACGATGCCAATATCAGATTGAAAATTTTATGCCCAATAAATATATATATATATATATATGGTCCAGTGCAGTCCAGTCCATAGGTTGAATATATATATATATATATGTTTTGGGATACATTTATTTTCTTTTACATATCCTTTCTCATGCAGAAAAATAAAGGTGTAGAGGACTTTGGTGATGTTATCAGAGAGGGAGGAGGAGCATTAGCAAAAGGCCTATTCGGAGGAGTTACTGGAATTTTGACAAAGCCTCTTGAAGGTGCAAAAGCTTTTGGTGTTGAGGGTTTTGTTCAGGGTGTTGGAAAAGGAATAATAGGTGCAGCTGCACAACCTGTGAGTGGGGTTCTGGATCTTTTGTCAAAAACAACTAAAGGTGCCAATGCTATGAGAATGAAGATAGCATCTGCTATTACTTCAGAAGATCAACTGCTCCGCAGGAGGCTGCCACGTGTAATTAGTGGTGATAGTTTGCTTCGACCATATGATGAGTAAAACAGTGGTCTGATTATTTTTTCCCTTAGTTATCTATACTTCCAAGCCCTTGGACCAGATGGTCCTCTTAGACACATCATGTGTGTGAATACCATATTGATTGAAACTTCGAAGCTAAATACCCATCCAACCTAAGGACTGGGCCATATTTTTTTCCTTAGAAAATTGAAATGAAAACTTCAATAGAAAGTAGACGAAGAAGAAAACTTCAATTGAGTGCTGAATATATATATATATATATATATATCCTTAAAAAAGCAAATTATGTACTGACTGAACCCCACTTTCTGGACCACAAAAGCAAATTATGTTCTGCATATATCCTTGAACAGTACCACAATTGTAGAAAACAAGAAATAAAATCCTTAAAAAATCGTTTTACCAAATTACCAACAACTAAAACTATCATCACAACAGCAGATCAACTGTGCTGAATCCATAGGATAAGAAACCAAATGCATGGCAAAATGGTTTAAAACTTTAACTGATACATATTTCAGATTCATGTCTCAACCCAAATGATATATATTGACATTTCTTCCATATTAACAGAATCCGATTTATAGAGTCAGACACAATCCTCTCACAAGGCTGGCAGTGGATATGGTTATGATGATGTTAGTGTGAAGGTGTTGGGTAGTGGCAGTGAAGAGGGGGTTGTTGAAGTGGCACCACATGTACTTGCCCAAACAACACTAGTTTGGCATAACTTATAAAAGCCAAAAAGTCAAAAAGTTGAAGTGGCACCACATGTACTTGCCCTTAGCATATAGCTTATAGTTGCTTATAGCTTGCTAAGCCAGGCTAATTACGTATCCTGCTATATATCTCCGTAATTTTTTTTTTATTATCTACCAAAAAAATATAGTCAAAGTATGTAAAGTGTACAATTCACAAAACCAACCTTATAGGCAGTGATCCCAAAACCACACCACTACAGTTCTAAGCAGCAATTGCACTGTCAGCCTGCAAGAAAATAAAACCTAGCATAAGAACTCCATCTTTTACAGAGAAAGAGAAGCCACACGGTGAAAAATAACAAACAAATAAACAGCACAAGAAACCATGTTTGCAGCAGATCAAAACCACACATGACACCCTGAACAAAGCAAATAAGTAGACTACAAGGACTCAGCCAACATGCAGCAGATCAAAATCACTATGTCACCATTGCTAGGGGCAAAACCATGTTTGCACCAATCGGTGCCATGGCACCCTGCACTCCAAAAGAAATTTATGTATATCCCAACTATGTACTACTAACACATATGGTTTGAAAGCTGATGATTTTTTTCAAATGGAACCCCAAAAAAATTCAATTCTATATGGTGGCCTTACCATAGCATTTGAAATGGTACACATACCAACAAATTCTATATTCATGCTCAAATGGAATACGTTACTCCAATTCAATATTACTGAAGTTGTTTCCAGATTGTCAGATACAGACCAAAGTGGTTTTTATGTGTGATTACAGATCAAGGTGATTTCCGGATTTGGACAAAAAATAAATTATTTGACGAGCACCAGATTTTGTTATTATAACTATAGAATTTTCAGAATTTTCAGATTTCCACATTTTTCAGATTTCCAGATTTCAGAGTGATTTCCAGATTTTCAGATTGGCAGATACAGACCAAGGTGATTTCCAGATTTGGACAAAAACCAAATTATTTGACGAGCACCAGATTTTCTTATTATAACTATAGAATTTTCATAGAATTTTCAGAATTTTCAGATTTCCCCATTTTCCAGATTTCCAGAATTTGCAGACCAAAGTGATTTCCAGATTTTCATATTTCAGATTTCCAGATTTCAGATTTTCAGAATTTTCAGATTTCCAGATTTTCTTATTATAACTATAGAATTTTCATAATAATAGAAGTTTGACTAGCACCAATTGTTCCAAAATAATAAAAAAAAACTCATTCATGATAGTGTTTTATATCACGACATATTAACATTTACAAAGATAGATCCCCCTTCATTATAATGAGTTTCCTTTGCATTTGTGCACAAATTGAACATTCACATTGCTCTAATTATGACATGCACTAAAGCATGATATACATCAAGATTGTACATCAACATCTGTATCAAAATCACTTTGTAGGTCATATTCTTCGTCTGTGTCGTCACCCTCCCTCATTAATCCATCTTCATCATCACAGATGAAGGCATCATCTGTAACACCCTTGGCTTCTACACCTCTAACAGATTGCAACACTTCCATTGGAATAATTTCAGATTCAATATCATGTCGACGCAAAACCACATCATCATCAATAGCCATAGCAGGTACGACCTCGGTGGTTTTTTCTTGTTGAAACGCATCATCAGGTTGTACGACATCCATCTCTGGCACATCCCAAATTCCTCGATGTTGAAACTTTTCTACGACTCTCCAATTGGTACCTAATTTGGTGTCATTAACATAGAATACTTGTTCAACCTGACTTGGTAATATAAATGAGTCATCTTTGTACCATCGACTTGTTACATCAACTATTGTGAAATGTGGTTCTACATGCATAGTTCTACTACTACCGGTGTTAAGCCATTCACATTGGAACAATACAATCCGACGTCTGAACAAATAGTTCAGTTCCCACACTCTGCACAAGTGTCCATAGAAGTGTATCAATTGGCCTTGATGCTCCCCTTCAATGACTAATCCACTATTCTGACTTTTCCGACGGTTGTCACGATCGATAGTATGATAACGGACACCATTACAAATACATCCTGAATATGTGTTCACTAAGCCACTAGGACCATTGGCTAATGACCACATATCATCAGTTGCTTCAGGGGAAACTTGGCTCCACAATTCATTCATCTACATGAAGAACATGTGTCATGTTACTAGCATGCGTGACATTTACGTAATGTACGATCTATGGTAGGATATGAGAATACTAGCTTACATGATCTTTGAACCATTTAGGGAATTCTTTTTGATGTCTGTTTTCGATGTCGAACGCACCGGCTCTTTGGTGTAACAAGTTCTTGTGCTCCCTAGTTACAAGAAATACGATTCAAAAATATTTACTGAGATAAAGACTAATCAATTTACAATAAAAACATTATAAATACGTTTGAAGGATTCATACTCTACGTATTTATCCACTTCTGTGCTATTGTGTAGGACAAACCAATGAGCCAACTCGCGTTTAGCTACGGACACATCGGACGCCCTTGTCATTAGACCAAAGGGACGTACAGTTTGAGTGAATACCGTCAACCCTGGGCCATGGTCACCCATGTCATAATTCCTTTCTGGGCGGTTAAACAATGTTTCAACTCCATCCAAATACATTGAACAAAATGTTGTACATTCTTTGGAAATGTAAGCCTCGGCAATAGAACCTTCAGGATGAGCTTTGTTGGCCACAAACCCTTTTAGACGGCCAAGCAACCTAATTTTGCAAGCCGATGTCAATGTTATACTGCAATATTTATATCAGCAGTAAAGCATTAACTTAAATTTGACAGTAATATGAGGGCTGAGTTAATACCTCTCAATTGGGTACATCCATCGATATTGCACTGGGCCTCCAAGCATAGCCTCTCGAGGCAAGTGAATTGCCAAGTGGACCATGACATCGAAGAAAGCCGGCGGGAAAAGCATCTCAAGCTTACAAAGTATGAGTACGATTTGTTCATCCAATTTATGCAAATCTGAACGCCTCAATGTCTTTGAACACAATTGTTTGAAGAAATTTCCCAACTCAAAAAGTGTCGTTCCAATTTCCTTATTCAGGTAGCCACGCATCCCAATTGGAAGAAGTCGTTGTATAAGGACATGACTGTCATGACTTTTGAGTCCAGATAATTTTCCAGCTTGAGCGTTTACGCAATTGGAGATATTTGCTGCATAGCCATCAGGGTACTTTATTGATTTCAAGAAATCACAAAAGCCTTCCCTCTCTTTCACCGACAATGTGAACAATGCGGGAGGCTTCTCAAAGGACCCATTAGAACGCCTCTTCAAATGTAACTCTTTACGTATTTTCATGTCCTCCAAATCTAAGCGTGCTTTGTCCGTGTCCTTGTTCTTTCCATCTACGCTCAAAAGTGTCCCAACGACATTGTCACATATGTTCTTCTCAATATGCATGACATCAAGGTTGTGTCGAAGCTTCAACGTCTTCCAATAGGGCAAGTCAAACATAATGCTTCTCTTGCTCCAATTCAAATTTTGATGTTCATTCCTTTGTCGTTTTCGATTTTGTGGGTGCTTTCCATACGGCTTGTAAGTCCCAGAATCAATTTGCTCTAGTATTTGGTCCCCCGATAACTCCAAAGGTTTGGACCTATGCTCCGTTTGACCATTGAAGAGCTTACTTGTTCGCCAAGTGTGGTTCTCAGGCAAGTGGCGACGAGCACCCATACCCTATTTTACTCCGTAATCCCTAGGACGATGCATTATTGTTACAATTAGGGCAAGCCAAGTAACCCTTTGTACTCCACCCTGACATGTTACCGTACGCAGGGAAGTCATTTATGGTCCACATTACCGCCGCATGCATTCTAAAAATTTGCCCGTTCGATGCATCATATGTTTGCACACCATGCTCCCACAAATTCTTCAATTCTTCTATTAGTGGTTGCAAGTAAACATCAATGTCTCTTCCAGGAGCCGATCGTCCGGGAATAAGCAATGACATCATGCAATATGGCTCTTTCATGCACTTCCACGGTGGGAGATTGTAAGGCATTAAGATTACGGGCCACATGCTATATGATGTGCTCATATTCCCAAATGGATTGAAACCATCTGTTGCCAGCCCTAGCCTTACATTTCGAGAGTCATCAGAAAACGTCGGATGTTGCTTATCAAAGTCCTTCCATGCTTCACCATCGGTCGGGTGCCTTAATATGTCATCATCCACACGCTTCTCATCGTGTCATCTCATATCTGCTGCTGTTTTTTTGGACATATACAATCTTTTCAACCTCGGTGTCAAAGGAAAGTGCCGCAATACCCTGTGTGGAATCTTTTTACCACCATCATTGTTCAACTTGAATCTACACGCGTCACATGTAGGGCATTTCTTCAAATTAGCATTCTCCTTCCAAAATAGAGCACAATCATTCTTGCACGAATGAATTGTTTCATATCCCAAACCCAAGTCACGTAAGAACTTCTTAGCATCATAAAGTGTCCATGGAACTGTTTGATCACATTCTGGTAGAATGTCCTTGAATACTTGCATAACCATATCGAATGACTTGTTGCTCCATTTGTTGTACACCTTCACATAAAGCATTTTAATGACGAATGATAATACAGAAAACTTTTCACGTGTCGGGTAAACTTTGCGTTGTGCATCTTTGAACAACCTAGTGAACTTATGCAAATCCTCCCTCTCCAAACCATTAGGTTCCTCGTCGGTATGATCATCTATAAGACCACTCACGTAAATTTCTTCCAACATAATAGGCAATTCATCCATGGACGGATCATCGATATCTGTCATACATTCGCCACTACCTCCACATTGGTCATTTGATACACTAGGATGAGACACGGGAACATGTTCCCCGTGATGCACCCAAGTTATATACGAAGATGCCATTCCTCTTCGGATCAAGTGCATCCACATAACTAGTCTGCTATATTTTGTGCCATTAATGCAATCGACACACGGACACCTAATTTCATCCTCTACGCCTAAATTTGCCGTAGCAAAATCAAGGAATGACTTCACCCCTTGTTGATACTCTTTACTTGTCAGCCTATTATTTATCGTCATCCAACTGTTGTCCATTTTGTCACCTACGACTCACACAAAGATTCACCGAGGAACAAATGAGAACACACATTTCAAGTTGAGATAGATTATGTTGTTTTTCATTCACTGTTTGGCTTGTCACATAAATCTCTTTTAGGGTGGGACTTTATGACACGATTTGTTCTAAAATAATGCGTAATTATGGAAGTTAATTTAAGAAATGACCCGTAATTTTGGACCACTAGATAGCATAACTAGTAGAGCACTAGTACTAGTGAAACCATATGGTCAATAATAGAATGATATATCAAAAGAATCAAAACCATTTTCATGCTCTCAACAGTGTGTGTGCATGACATGATAAGCATTTTATAGTCACTGTCTCAACTATTTTGAGTTGCATAGTAATAAGTCGTTGCACATCCAACGACCATTTCTAAAAATTAAAAAAATGAAATAAAAAAAACACAAGGTGGGGTTTCAGAGAGATCAAAACTTGCAGCTTCACAGGAGAGGACACAACCTTCCATGGACGCTGAAGCAAAGAAAAAGCGAAGATAACATAAAGCACTATGTGTGCCCTGAGCCTAGTTGTGTGCACCACAATCCTTCAAGGGCTCTTGGTGATCTCACTGGAATCAAGAAACACTTTTGCCAGAAAACATGGGGAAAAGAAATGGAAGTGTGAGAAGTGTTCAAAGATCTATTATGAACATGTTAGTCGGCAATTTCTTGCAAGGTCTAAATCTGTAATCAAAGAACAAAACTTAAAAGCATCCATTATGATAGTACTTCCCAAAAAAAAGGAAGTCAAGAAGAGAACAGAAAATAGAAAAGTAAAGATAGAAACACCAAAAAAAGAGAAAAGAACATTCATCCTATTCTGAAAATCACAAAACAAAAAATCATAAATGTCAGCTGTGCATGTCCGCAACATGCATATTCACACATTGCCAACCTAAGCTTTGGGCATAAACAAGCTTTCTCCTTCATTGAAAATATGGACTTAAATTACTAAGGAGGCAACATCAACAATATGCCGCCATGATGCAAGCATCATAAATTTCCAACTTGAACTAAAATGGAAGCATCGAGGTTATATTCTCCTCAATTCCCATACCAAGAGCAGCCTCCTTGTAGTTTTTTATGTAATGATGTTTAAATATTACTATAATGTAATTATCATGTTTGCCAAGTAGTTTCCAAGAATTTAACAAGTCAATGCTATCCATTCAAGACAAGGCAATGCTATCCATCCACAAACTACCATGCTTATTTATAGCACAAAAGTAAACATTTACGCTCGGCAATGCTATCCATATGTATGATTTGATTGTACATCTAGCTCAAAACCATACAAATTCCTTTTGAAAAGGTCATGCTTACGAAAATAATAAACTTACGAAAACAATTAAGTGTAGCAAATGGCTTGATTCACCCCAAGCATAGTAGAGGTGCACTGTTTTTCCCCTTCCGATTTTTTTTTTCTTCCTTCAATTTGAAGTAGTTAAGTGCGTTGAATATTGAAATAGGTAATACTAGAATGCAGACATGATGCCTTATATGTTAAAAGAGTTTAAATTGTATTCCTGCCTTAATTGTTAAAGGATGTTGATTGTTCAAAACAAGAGTAGATTTATTTTTCACACTAGAACCATTATCTATAACCAACGCTTTGATAAATGGTTGAGTTTAACTATGTAGATGAATCAATCACTGCACCAGAAAAAATAGTTTTGAGATTTGGATCAGATTAAGTAGGAAAGAACAAATCATATGGGAGGGCAATGGAAGCCTACTTGAATAAATTTCCAACAAGAGACTGTAGTAAGATTGTTGCATTTAAAAAATTGTCTTTCTGGTGACTAAAACTAGATCTATATAAATAAAAGAACTACACAAATTAAACAACTGATTTTCTACGACATGCAAGGCCTATACAAATAAGAGTGAAAACAAGAAGATACATATTAATTTTATACAAAATGATGTGGTAGATTGAGACAAACTTTAACATAAAAGACCCATTAAATATGGGTTATAATTTGTAGAATGCAACAACTACATCATTCCGGTGTGAAACATAATGGTACCAATAATACATTGCTAAGAGAAAATGAGATATTTGGCAGAGCCTTGCCACTTTTTTCTTTACTCATCTTTGGTAAATAAACTATAGTGCCCTCATTCAATATGTGGGTGGAATTAGAAACATAATGGAAAAGCCTCTTTCAGTATACTTTAATGTGATTTTTAAAAATATTAGGGGGAAAGAAAAATATCTTTTTTGCCCTTCAAAGATGGCTGCTCTCTACTATAAACGGAAGGGGAAAAACAGTGCACCTCTGTTATATATACTACTACTACAAGACTTTGCCCTAGTTTATGTAGAAAATGGCTTGATTCACCCCAAGCATTGCCCTAATTTTTAATTTGAATCACATTTCAATAACAATGCCCTAATTGAGGGCATTTCCTAGTTCATATTCTGTGTGTTTTCAGATATACACACACACACACACACATATATATATATATGTATGTGTGTGTGTATGTGTGTAAACAGAGACAGAGAGAAACAGAGGGAAATCGAGAGGGAGATACAGAGAGAGGAAGAGACAGATGCAAAATGGAGGACATACCTAGGAGGGAGTTCGGGGGATGATCCAGCAATCCTTGCGGTGATGGCGATGGCGATGGAGACTATTCCTGTAGAGAAGAGGGCAGAGGCGTGAGTGTACATATGATTTGTGTATATAATCGAGTATATACGGAATCAAGGTTGTGAATATATGATTTGTGTGTGTATGTATATATATATATATATATATATATGCATGTATGTGTCTGTGTGTGTAAACAGAGAGAGAGAGGGAGAGAGAGAGAGAGAGAGAGAGAGAAAGAGGGAAACCGAGAGGCCTCTGTGAGATGTTTAAGAAATCGAGAGGGAGATACAGAGAGAGAGAGAGGGAGATACCTGGGAGGGAGTTTGGGGGATGATACAGCAACTCTTGCGATGAAGACAGAGCAGTGATAGAGGCGGGAGTGCGAGAGGGAGGGAAATGGAATACTTTTGCAATGAAAATAAAAGAAAAAAATATTTATTACCGACCAAAATCATTTTTGTCGCTAATATATATTATGAAAAATTAATATTCCCTCAACAATTTCGTGGCACGTTTGGCTACCAAAAACATAGTCGGTGAAACTTTATTATTTAGCGACCAAAATTTAATTAGTCGCCGAAACCCAATTATTTCCACGACTAACACACTATTAGTAGCCAAAAATTAAATAAATACGAAAATAAAAAATAATAATGTATAAATACTATACAATTAGCGACCATTGTGATATTTAGTCGGCCAAAAGTTTATATTTAACGACTAACATGTAATTAGTCTCCATTAGTGAAGACTATTCTAACTGCATATGACATTAGTAGCGATGTATGTCACATTTACCGACCAAAACAGTTTAGTAGCTAATACGTTTTTATTTGGCGACCAAATAATGTTTGGTAGCTAATGTGTGTACCATTGGCGACTAAAAAATCTTTAGTAGCTAATGTGTACACCTTTGGCGACTAAATTGAGTTTAGTCGGCAAAATTAGTCGCCAAAGCTGTAATTTCTTGTAGTGTGAGTATGATTGTGATTGGTCCTTTGCTTTTCCTTTTTTTTTCTTTTTTTTTTTGGCATGTCCTTTTAATTTATTTTCTTTCATTTCATTATTCTTTTAATTTTTGGTGAGAGCAGCTTTAAGGGTGTGGTTTGAGATTGAATTTTTAGTAAATTTTTTTTTTGGGGGTCAAATCACAGACTGTACATGCTATTGCTCATGTATATAGGTAATTAAATTCTCAAGCATACAGGTAGTTAAATTCTTTGGCCCTATGTTATGTTATATTTTAGTTAAATTCTTTGGCTATATTATGCTATATTTCAAAATAAAAAAAAAAAGAAAGTAAAATGGCGTTTGTTGAAAAAATGCCTCTAAATGACATTATCATGACGTTATACGTTATTTTGTGACGCAAATGGTAGCAGACGCCAAAATGCCGCCTATTGTTTTTACTGACATTTTTCAAACGTTGTAAAATTATGGTGACAGTTACATCAACAACGAAAATATTAAATGTTACTGTAACGTGTTAAGGCGTTTTCCTGTATTGAATTTTCTTTTTGAGGACATTGGTGATTTGCTTTCTTTGTCACATGTCAGGAAGAAAACTAAACGACAGCATATTTCAATTGATTACATTGATTACATTTTTTTATTTGAAAAATTTTAGATAGGCTACAACTTAGAGTTTTATTTTATATTTATTACAAAGATGTCCATGTCACACTAAAATTTAGATGTGGGGTAATGACCAAAGATATACATTCACCTAAATTTTCAATTCACATATAGGGTGTGCCATTCATGCATGACAGTGAATGATAGTCAATATTGTTTTGTTTTTTTTCTACTATAAAGTAATAGAGGAGATATTTATAATAAAAAACTAAACCAGTCATTTCAGACATTTTGAAAACTAAACTTTAAGAAAGATTTATGTCAATTTAACAATTTTATTAACCTCAAGGAGGTTTAAATCATTTCAAAAAATTTAGAAATTTTTTTTGCAATTCCTTAAACTTCAAGAAAAATTAATGTAATTTCTCTTAAAAAATTTCATATTATTCTTGTATCGTGGACCATGCAAATCCCATAAAAAAAAGGTCAATGTTGTCGTCTTTAAATTATTATTATTATAATAATTGCACGTAACTAGCTTTGACACAATCACCCACATGACAGCTTAGTTAGTGGTTTTAAAAGAATACTTCACATTATTTATAGGAAAATGATGCTCAAACTTAATATTTTATAAATTTACTTTTTAAATTTAATAATGTGTAAGTGAAATGATAAGTTAGACCTTGAGATGTGGTGAGGGGAGGTCACATGTTTAAATTGATAGAATAACGACGAACCTTTTTAGTTAAAATCTAACTATATTAATATACTAACACTATATATCTTTGTCAAAAAAAAAAAAAAACAAATAATTGATCGATAATTAGAAAAGACATAAAAAAAAATTACCTTACACATTCTAATAGATTAGACATTATTAAATTTTAAACGTGAATCTAATTTTTTGACACTGTGTCACCTCTTTTCTAATAAAAAATAGTTTTTTTATCTACAGTAAAAAAAATAGTGAATCTCATTATTTTAACTAATAAAAAATTCGTCAAGACATCCCATCAAGAGAATAATACGCAGAGACAAAGAGCTTTGTCACATTCTAAGCTCACTCACTCACATCGTCACTACGAATGACCCCATCAAAACAATTAATTAATTAATTAATTAAAGTCACCACTGTCCCTATAAATACTAACCTCAACTTACTTGCTTGCTCACTCAAAGCAAATCAAAGGTCAGAGTATGTAACTAATCTCTCTCTCTCTCTCTCTCTTATCAGTCAGTCAGCTTTTATATTTTGGCTTTAGTATACTGTCGGCCTTTTTTTTATCAATTGATCTATTGTTTGTTTTTTTAACGTGAGAACTCAAAACACGTGTACCTTTTTTATTTCTCTTTTTGGATTAATTTTTGTTGTTATTCTCTGCAAATACATTCATACTTTTAATTAATTAAAACATCTTTTTAATTTGATTAGGTCTTCGAGAATGAGTTCAAGCGTGTTCTTTTGCTTTGAGAAGGTACTCTCGAAGTCAGATGCTACCAAAACCATCTTGCAGGTACCTCATTCCGCAACTAATTTACCAGAAGAAAACAAAGAAGTGATAGTTGTAAAGGATCAAACTGGAAGGAAATGGAAGTTTGAGGTGGCGATAAAAGATGATGAGAAGCAAAAAAGGTTGCAAGGCGAATGGAGTCAGTTTACTAAGGCTTATGGTCTCATGAAAGGTGTTATTGTCAAGTTTTATTTCAATCCCAATGAAAATTTATATTACGTGGAATTGGAAGGCCAACTGCTCAGGTCGGGTTTGAATTTCTTTTTCTTTTTGTCTTTGTAGAAACTATTATTAACTTTTAAAATTTTTTGAACTTAGTAAAAGCATTTAATTAAAATTTTAAAAAATTTATAAAGAAAAAATTTTTGAGTTCAAAGTATAAAAATGAGCTTGAAACATGAGTAAAGTTGTTAGAGGGGTTAATTGACTCGAGAGAGTAGGCTGGATATATAAGCCGAAAATATAAATGATTGAAGTAGAAACAAGATATTATAAAATTAATTACCCACTTTCTCTCTCTCTGTCTCTCTCTCTCTAAATTATTCTACATATTGCCTTTTCTTATCATCTACCTCCTCTCTGTGAATGAGGCTACTACTACTATGTTTCTAAGTTAGAAAGTGGGTAATTTTGTAATATCAAATCTACCACGTCAATTGGTTTATATGTTTTCTCTATCTCTTTCACTCTAAACTCATATTGTCTTTTCCTTTCTTTTCTTTTTTGTTTGGATGAATTTATGTTATTTTATGCAAATATACAATACATTCAATTCCTTCTTCTTCTTTTTTAATAGCATATATTTTGATTCATCATCACATCGTGTAATTTGTTTAGTGGTTGGAGAACTACTTCCAGAATAAGCTTTGAGAAGAAGCTCTCCGAAGAAGATTTAACCGACATGAATATACCACTGATTCATGAGAACAACCAGCCCGTCATGGTTGTGTGGGATCAAAAAGATATGCAGTGGAGGTTTCAGATAGCAATAGGTGGTGATAATGGTAATAAAAAGTTATTGAATCGCGAAAAATGGATTCAATTTGTACGTCGTAATGAACTGGAGGCCGGAGAAACACTGAAGCTTCGGTACTCTCCCACTGAAGGAACATATTCTGCCGAATGTGAAGGCCCTAACCGCATCCCGACTCGTCAGTTCCTTTGATACGATGAAGAACTAAATGAGGGACCTGCAACAACAAATTTCTTTCTCGTTTCAGTTAAAGTCAATTGTCCTCTACTTATGTTTTGTTATTTTTGTTTTTTTTATTATTTTTTATTTTTTATTTTGGGATTTCATGCAAGGATCCATGTGAGCGGTTGTTGCTGAGCCTAGTAACCTGTTATTATATATATATATATATCAGTGAACTAAATAGGTTTTGTTTCGTTTGTATTATCATATCATGTGTCATCTCCAGATTTGCTAAGTTATGATGTTTGTAACCTTTTCTTTGTTTTATTGATGTTTGTATGATTTGTATTTTCATTTCAGCAATAAAACGTTTTTTTTTACTTATAAAGAAAATATATCATGTGTGTTTTACATTTAGGAAATGATAAATCAATGTCGTTGTGCAAAGCAAAGTGACCTTTCTTGTTTTTTCTTTTCCTTCTCTCCTTGCATATAATAATGAATTAGTGGAAAAACAAAACATGCACAACAGAAGGGGCCCCACTCGTATAAGAATAAATTTAGTGTAGCTATCCGTCTCATGAAAGGTGTTATTGTCAAGTTTTATTTCAATCCCAATGAAAATTTATATTACGTGGAATTGAAAGGCCAACTGCTCAGGTCGGGTTTGAATTTCTTTTTCTTTTTGTCTTTGTAGAAACTATTATTAACTTTTAAAATTTTTTGAACTTAGTAAAAGCATTTAATTAAAATTTTAAAAAATTTATAAAGAAAAAATTTTTGAGTTCAAAGTATAAAAATGAGCTTGAAACATGAGTAAAGTTGTTAGAGGGGTTAATTGACTCGAGAGAGTAGGCTGGATATATAAGCCGAAAATATAAATGATTGAAGTAGAAACAAGATATTATAAAATTAACTACCCACTTATTTTCTCTCTCTCTCTCTCTAAATTATTCTACATATTCTCCTTTCTTATCATCTACTACCTCTCTGTGAATGAGGCTACTACTACTTGTTTCTAAGTTAGAAAGTGGGTAATTTTGTAATATCAAATCTACCACTTAGAAAGTGGGTAATTTTGTAATATCAAATCTACCACGTCAATTGGTTTATATGTTTGCTCTATCTCTTTCACTCTAAACTCATATTGTCTTTTCTTTTCTTTTCTTTTTTGTTCGGATGAGTTTATGTTATTTTATGCACATATACAATACATTCAATTCTTTTTTTCTTTTTTTTAAGAACATATATTTTGATTCATCATCACATCGTGTAATTTGTTTAGTGGTTGGAGAACTACTTCCAGAATAAGCTTTGAGAAGAAGCTCTCCGAAGAAGATTTAACCGACATGAATATACCACTGATTCATGAGAACAACCAGCCCGTCATGGTTGTGTGGGATCAAAAAGATATGCAGTGGAGGTTTCAGATAGCAATAGGTGGTGATAATGGTAATAAAAAGATGTTGAATCGCGAAAAATGGATTCAATTTGTACCTCGTAATGAACTGGAGGCAGGAGAAACACTGAAGCTTCGTTACTCTCTCACTGAACTTGATGCCATTTGATTATGGTTTTGTGTTGTTTAGGCAATCTGAACTTGTAGACCATGTATATAAATAGCTAAACCAAGAAAAGGACTTGTTTGTACGTATATATAATTAGGGATGACTATTTAAATCTGATCCGCTAGTGCCTGTCCATATCTGCCCTTGTTAGGTTTTTGTTATTGGCAATCTCATTTGACAAAACTCCTTTCAATTGTAATTTTATTCGTTCTTTTATTTCAGTGAGGCTGTGAGTATTTATATGATAATAATGCATAGTAGTCGCCGTTTTAAAAAGGGGAAGTCATAAATTAGTAGATAAAAAAAAGTTTATAATTTTAATTATTAAAATTTATTATTAATTGAAAATTATTTTTAAAAATATATATATACTGATTTGCAATTTTTCG